TGTCCCCGTGTCTGTGTCCCCGTGTCTGTGTTCCCGTGTCCGTGTGTCCCCGTGTCTGTGTCCCCGTGTCTGTGTTCCCGTGTCCGTGTGTCCCCGTGTCTGTGTCCCCGTGTCTGTGTTCCCATGTCCCTGTATCCCTGTGTCCCCATGTCCCTGGGACCAGCCAAAAGCCATGGAGGTGACCCACGGGCTCAGCAGCAATGGGTGGCCCCCCTGCAGGGGACACAGGGATGACGAGGGTGCCACATCTGCCCCCCAAGTCACACAGAATCCCGGGATCAACCAGGCTGGAAAAGCCCTCTGAGATCATCGAGTCCACCCTGTGACCCAACCCCACCGTGTCACCCAGACCATGGCACTGATGCCACGTCCACTCTGTCCTAAACACCCCCAGGGGTGGTGACTCCATCCCCTCCTGGGCAGCCCATTCCAGTGCCACCCGTGTCCCCCCTGTGCCCACCTGCCCTGGCTCAGCCCCATCCTGCCGGGCTCCAGCTCCATGGGCTTCTTCTCCTCAAGGATGTGGCTCACCACGGGCTTCAGGACCTCGTGCAGGCAGGGCAGCCCCACAGCCTGCAAGGCACGGGGACACCAAATGTGTCCCCAAACATCCTGCTGGGACATGACCCAGCTCTGCACCCCGATGGCATCGTGGGGGGCACAGTGGGGACCGGGCCAGTGTCCCCTCCCACGCTCACCCTCATGAACTGCTCCGTGGACTTGGAGGCCGTTGAGTTGGAGCAGAACAGGGTGTTGGGATCAGCTGGAACAGCACAGAGGCTGTGGCAAGGCGGGCACAGGGTGATGCCCCAGCTGTCCCCGGTGTGCCCAACCCCAAGGACATGTGGCACTTTTCCTGCTCCGCCTTGGTGGCCCCACTCTTTCCCCATGTAGGTCTGGGGAGGCCGTGGCTTGGGGTTTCTCGGTGCAGGCGGTGCCCCAGCCCTGGCAGGCGGTGCCCCAGCCCTGGCACTTACTGGTCCTGGCCAACTCATGGGTGGTGACACAGTCCAGGAGGGGCACAGCCAGCCCCTGCCCCAGGAAGATGTTCACCAGCTTGGTGACCACGTCCTGCCGGCTCTCCCCTGAGGTCAACTCCTCCAGGATGTCCAGGACTGTGCCATCAGGAGGCTGTGGGGAGGGCAGAGTGGGCACGGCGAGGCCCCTGCGCTCAGATGGTCCCCAGCCACCCCCGGGGGTCCCCCCATCCCTCAGCACCCACCTGGTCCAGGCACAGGACGGACTGGGTGAGAGCTGGATGAGGGGCTGGTTGTGTGTGGGGGGCAGGACCGTGTCCAACACCAGCCCCAGGGCACCCAGATGCCCCCTGCGATGGCACGGGGGGGCTCGTCTGGGTCCTGTGCCCACCACCCTCCATGGGGTGCCTCCTGTGCTGCCCTGGGAGCAGCTGCCTGTCCCCTCTGCCTGTCCCCTCTGCCTGTCCCCTCTGCCTGTCCCATCGCTCACCCGTGGTCCTGGCTGGTGCTGGGCGAGGGCAGGAGCTGGAACCAGCCCCTGGTGGGGTCCGTGTTGATGGTGTCCAAGGGGAACTCGCCCTGGGGGGCCAGAGGCAGGGGCTGGGGGAGGGGACAATGCCAGCACCCCGTGCTGGACCTCGGTGTGGGGAGAGCCCAGGACATGCAGGGTGTGGGTGTGGCACTGCCCCAACCCTGTGGCTCCTGAGCTGTGCTCGCTCCACGCACAGGGGATGGGGGTGCAGAGGTGCCCCCAGGACCCTGCCCGTGCTGGTGTGCCCCGAGGGTCCTCACCCATCCCGGGAAGTTGTTCTTGCCCACGATGTCCCAGCCCCACCACTCCACACTCAGCACAGCTTCTCCTTCTGGCAGCTCCAACTCCAGCCCCTCATCCCAGCACGGGAAAGGGTTTTCTCAACCACCCACTGGGCACGGGGACTGGTGGCCGTGGGGGGCAGAGGTGCCCAAGCCTCGGGGTGCCAGCACCCACCCCCGGCTCACGGCTGTGCCCAGCATGTGCCCGCAGCACAACCCCCGGGCAAAGGGGTCCGAGGGGCCTGAGGGGTCCCGTGGGGCCAGACCCCTGTGGGGAGATGGGGGTCAGAGGGGAGCAGTGGGCAGGGGGCACATCCCTGCCGGAATGTCCCTGCACCCCCGCGTTCCCCCGTTTTCCCAGCTTGCCCGGGTATATCCAGGGGCATCCAGGGGGTGCCATGGGATGCTGGGGAGAGTGTTGTCCCTGTTTCCAGGGGAACCCTTTCCCCCTCCAGTCCCTGGGGGCCAAATGGCCCAGCTGGGGGGGCTCTGCTGTCCCCCCCAATCTGTCCCCATGGCCGTGCTGTCCCCGTGGCCATCCCGTTGCCTTGGTAGCCGCTTCAGTTGCCATGGCAGCGGGATGCTGGCTCTGCTGCCTGCTCCATCTGTCAGCTGTGTGTGTGACTGTGTGTGTGTGTGTGTGTGTACACTCACACATGTGCACACACGTGCACACACATGTACACCCCCAAAAGCAGAGGGGCAGCCCAGGCCAGGCCTCAGTTTCCCCTCAGTTTTCAAGCCAAAGGGAGAATTCCCCCAATTTTGAAGCCAAACCCAGCGTGGGAGCCAAGCAGTCTGAGGGGGACTGACCCCGGGTACCCCGTGACCCTCTGTGCCACCAGCTCTGCCCCTTGTCCCCCAGTCCCCAAGCAGGGCTGGCACCATATTCCCCACTGAGCCCCCTTAGCATTGTCATACACGGGTTGGCATCACTGCTGTCCCCAAGGTGGACACAGCGAGGGCCCTTCCTGGTGTGGAGAGGGGAGGACAAGCCCTGTGTCACCCCTGTCCCCAGCCTCTCCTCAAGCACAGGGTTAATTCCTCCCCCCAAAAAGGGCTCAAGGTTCTTCCACACCTGTCCTGTCCCCAGGGAGGGGAGAGGTGGCTGCATCTCCCTGTCCCCACGTGTCCCCTCCCAGGGTGGGACAGTGCCTCATACCTGGCCACCACCTCGTTGCCCACCTTGACCATGCAGGAGGGATCTCTGGAGCCAGACCTGCGCAGGGGAGGGGGGTTTGTGGGGTCAGCCCCACTCTTGGGGGTCCCACCCACCCTGGGGGGCTGCTCTTGGGGCGTTCAAACCCCTCCAGTGAAGCAGCAGCCCCGGGGGTGAGGTGAATTGCTGGGTCTCAGCCCAGTTCCTGAGCTGACACCAGGATGGGGACACTCCCTTTTCCCAGTGCTCCTGGAGCTGGGGACCCGCTGTGGGACACCCCAAGCTGTCACCCTGTGCCCCCCACCCGCGGGTACCGGTGTCTCTCCGGCAGCACAGCCCAGCCCAAGCCTCTGTGACAACCCACAGTGTCAGGGTGACACCGGCCTGGCCCAGGGCCCAGCCTGGCCTTAACCCCTTCCATGGGGAGCACGGGATGGAGGGAGGAGAGAAGGATCCAGGGATCATCCACCTGATCCCTGAAAAGCCCGTTTCCACTCATTTATGGCAGCTGGATCAGCACCCAGGGGTGCTGCTGGAGTCCCAAATCCCCAGGGGATGACAGGAGGTGCTTCCACAAGGATTGGGACCCTGAGTGGGGCGAGGGAGGTGACCCCAATCTCTGTCCCAGCCACAGGACAAGAACTGGGAGCAGGTCACCCCAGCTGGGTTTGAGGGGGGACTGGGAGTGGCGCTGGGCATCCTTGTGCTGCTGTGTGCCCAGACCCCGCAGTGGGGCACCCAGCATGGCACTGTGACCCCCACCGGGGGGGAAACTGGGGCAAGTAGAAGCCGGTGCCCCCAGCATTCCCAGCTGGCCGGCCCCGGGAGCAGCCCTGGTGCCAAGCTGGCACATCGGGAGGAGCCCAGCACTGCTGAGCCGCGCCCCCGGGACAGGAGCAGGTGGGGGCCTCCCCGCACCCCCCTGCTCAGCACCCCCTTCCCCACAAAGAGGGCAGGTGTGGGGGTGCAGGGCGCTGTGCCCCCCTAGTGTTACCCACAGCCTTGGGGGTGCCCACCCTGTTGGGGGGCAGCAAAGGGATCCTCCAGGGTTTGGGGGCTCATACACCTCTGGCAGGAGGGGCTGGCAGTCCCTGCACCCCCGGATCCCCACTCTGGGGGCAATGGGTCACCGGGATGGGTGCAAGCAGGGACCCCCCGAAACTGTACGGAGAGCAGGGCACCCAGGGAGAGCAGAGCAAACAGGGAGAGCAGGGCACCCCGGGAGAGCAGAGCAAACAGGGAGAGCAGAGCAAACAGGGAGAGCAGGGCACCCAGGGAGAGCAGAGCACCCAGCACCCCCCTGCCCACCACATCTCCCGGAGGGGGTCTGGGGGAAATAGCGGGGTCGAGAACCCCCCCTGAGCCACTCACACGTCCTTAGCGGGCCGGTCCTTCCCCTCCACCACCCTTTGAGCTCCGAACTTCGGGGTGGGCACCCAGGAGTGTGCATGGGGGGCTGCGATGGGCGCCCCGAGCCCCCCCAAAACGCTGCCAGTACCGGCCTCCTCCTCCTCCCCCGCCGCCGCTTCCCGCGGTCTGTTCTTCCCTTTTCCTCTTTCTCGGTTGTTTTTCTCGCCGCTCCGCTCCCCCCTGCTCCTGCCCGAGCCAAGGCGGGCACAGCTCGGCTGGGCTGGCGTCGTGCCCACCGGGAGCCCACCGGGAACCCACCGCGGGGGTCCCATCGCGGGCCAGTGACCACCCGTGTGGGTGACGGGGAAACTGAGGCACGGGGGTTGTGGCACAGGGGTGGCACCTGGGCTGGGGGGCTTCTGTCCCCTCAGAGCTGAGGGGCACAAGGGATGGGCACAAGGGCGGGGGGCTCTGTCTGTACCCCAAATTGGGGAGGGGGGGTTGCCAGGGGTGAACGTTGGTGCTGAGGATGAGGAAAAGAAGCAGCTGCGGGCACAGGGGTGCCCCAAGACCCCCATGGGACCCCCCACGAGTGCCCCCAGCCCTCAGAGGGGGGGCTGTGCTGAATGAAAATGGGGCAACTCCAGCAGATCTTGGGGTGCTTGTGGGTGCAGCACCCCGATCCCATAGCTGCCCCCACCCCGACTTCTCTGCACTGGGGACCCCGAGCCGGGGGGGTTGGAGGGCACTGGGGGTTGATGGGGGTCGTCGGTGCCCTGGTGGCCCCCCCCCGCGCTGCCAGGTGTAGCGGGGGGCACAGGGAGGCCGGAGGGGTGCGGAATTCGGGGTGCGGG